GAAATGCCTTACATCCTTTTATACGGTACTATATATCTTTTCACAATGAATGTTTTGGAAAGGGACATCAACTACAAAAACATAAATTTGGACATTTCCAATGTTTTCAGCAACTTTGAAATCAAGGGAATGGATTCTGGGGGTAGTATGCGAGCTTAAAAATTGGTAGATTTTGCAAAAAATGACATTTTTAAAGGTTTATTGTATGTGTAGAGTGGAACTTTTTGAACAATCTAAATTTTCTATGTGTAAATTCAAAAGGTGGCAAGTATTATTACAAGAAGAAAATATAGAATGCGTGACTCCTTCCTTACTAAACAACACTGTGAACATGGCTTCCGCATAGCATATTTTTATGCTTGAAACTTTGTCTGTCAGAAATGTTGCATGGTTCCAGGAATCCAAAATACAGATTTTCATAGTTCAATGTATGTTCCTGTATGAACACATAATTGGCTTCCTCATATGCTAGTCAGCTCAATCAGGTGCATACCTAGAAAGATGCAGTACCACTCAGAACATAGTGGTAAAAATGAGCTAAAATTAGAAATTTTTCCTGGTTTGTGGAATGATCTTATTGTGTTTGACAGTTGACAGAGTAATAAAATTGTGAATAGTTCTGCGAAACTAAAAAATTTAAAGCCGTCAGTATTTTCAGATTTTTTATTAACGAAAAACTTCATTTTCAGTACATGTTTGTCAAAAACGGATGTGGTCCAATTTTGAGTATAGATACAACCAAAGTTTTTACATTAATGAATACATTTTGATCCCTTTTTGCTATATTTTGTATTTTCATTACATTTTAGAATCTGTGTGTTGGAGTTATCTTTCATTGATTCAAGTGAACTTATACTTATGTGACGTTTTTTCGTGCCATTTTTTCGATTTTTTCAATTTTGCCAAATTGAAGAAATGGTAGCGGTCTCAAATGGTATTCATTAATTGACAATCCGAATTAGTATTTACTTCAATTATATCCTGTTCAGTCCATATTCACAGTTTTCGAAAAATTTCAAAATTTAAAGTGAACTTATAATTATGTTACGCAGTGTATAAGACCCTTTTGGGGAGTTGAACTCATGAACCTAATATTTGAGAGACTGCCCGGCTACCAACTGAGCTACGCTGTCTACAAGTCAAAATAAGAAGAGAAAACTCATACAATTTCCTACAAAATGTGTCAAAAACTATAAGAGTTTACAGCAATTATCTCGAGCAAACGGAAGTCATAAATACGATATTTGTTCCTTTTTGTATCATAAAAGCAATTAGACGACACCAGATTTGGGTATGGCCAAAACAAGTGACAGTCACAATTGCTCACCGCGCCTCACAATGATGAGTGTGTTGTTGTTCACTGAAAAATTTTGAAAAGGAAAAACGACACATATCCGAGCATTCAATTGAAACTGAAATTCTACCTTGTGAGGTGATGATTTTGTTTTATTTACGTTTCAATCGTTCAAGGTTTTCAAAATGCTTTAGAAAATCTCCAACATTAAATTGTGTGTCCTTTCCTCCTCAGAAAACAGATTTCAGACTTTTCCATCCCAGAAGAAAATGCATTTTGCAAAGTTTTGAAAGTTTTGCTACAAAAATTATTTCATCGTCTTCGTGCATGTTGCACTCAAAATCTGAATTCATCAATTATCTCAGTCAGAAAAATGCAATTCATAAATACCATAATTACCATAAATTCATATTCTTAGTTTAACAATTCTCTAGCTTGAAAATTTGGAATAGTCATAACACGGCTCAAAATAGTCGTAGAAATTTGATTTCTGAATGGTTTTTATGGAAAAAGATAGGAATTCGAAATTTCCCTCAAACGTTCGTGAAAAGTGTTCTTTCAAGATTCCTAGGTCTCTTTATGATTATCTGTACTTTTTTAACAAATTCCAACAAAACATTCTCAATTTATTTCTGAAATAAACATGAGATTTTCCGTTTTCCAGGGTGGTGCTATCATTATGACGCGGTGTGCAGACATACTTTTGGTTACTGTAGTCCTAAAACACTTGACTGGTACTTGATTCAGGGGACACATAGGTTTTTTGGGATGCAGAATCTAATGGCATTATCCATTTTTCTCCAAGATTTTTAGTTCTTCTGAAAACCTCAAATAATGGGGTGGTGCTATCATTATGACGCGCACTGTAGCATTAACTTTTCCAAATCTATTGTCTATTCAATAAAACGTGGACGCGCCGCAGGTTGCAAAGTGACACGCCCCTTTTTGGAACGCGTTCCCTTTTCCCTCTGCGCTACAGTAACCCGAAAACCCAGAAATGAAAGGTAGAACCGCAGAAAAATTCTATCTAGGGTAGGTTATTAGTAGTTTAGCTCTTTCAATGACGTTTGAAGCCAAAATTACAGGAAGTTTGCATTAATTCTTACCTCATTTTTCTCAAAAAACCTTCTCTCTTCTCCTGGAATACACTCATCACATATCCATGTTTTCTCCATGATGTGCCTTTTCTGATGCTTCCGAAGCGTACTCATACTTATGAATTTACTTCCAGGACACAACTCACATGTTAGAAATGTTCCTGGCTCCTAAAATTCATGAATTTTAAGATTTTTAAGTTTTCAAAGTACGCTTACTTTTTTGATTTTCATGTTTATTAGATCGAGAGGTTAACTGAAAAATGGGAAATCCTGGAAATTCTGAAAATCCAACATTAAACAAATTATAAAATTTGGAAATTTTCTAAAACAGCGACTTTAAAATTTTGTAGAAAATAGAAAACAGAGAAAAAAAATTTAAAAAAAGAAAAGAGCATTGGAGAGGATGGAAATCTGAGAAGCGAAGAATATCAGAAGGTGTCAACTAGCATCTAAAAAGAGCAAGATACTTATAATGTAGCAAAATTGAATGTAATTAAGTAGAACTACAGATAATCATGAAGAAACCTAGGAATCTGAGTAGAACACTTTTCCCGAACTTTTGAGGGAAATTGAGAAATTTAAATTTTTGGAAACTAT